AGCAAAAGCTCACCTAACCTTCCCAACACAGCTCTCAGGTGAAAACAGAGTAATGCAGCCAGCATCAGATACCACCTTGCAGCATAAACCCTGGAAAACTGCCCTGCCCCTGCCCGCCCCCCCCCCCCAATTTCTTTGCCAGAGCCACTTCCCCTACTCCATATGACCAAGCCCCCCACAGACACTGCTGTCTCTGCTTTATATAGGTACTGACCCTACAGAAGTGCTTCCAGCTGCCTGCAGGGACTGCCTGCTCATTGCTCCAGCTGAGCTCGTTATGGGTTCAGCTCATTACAGATAGTTGTGGAAGGGGTGATGACCTGAGGGGAGGTGATGGGGCAGCAAACCCTCATCCCAGCCCTTCTGCCCTTACCAGGGCCATGTTTGCAGGGACTAACCTGCCCCATCTGCCCCCTCCCCAGCGTGTCCCTGCCCCACCACAGAGACATCATTCGCAACTGTGCCGTCAGCGTGGACCAAATCCAAGACCTGCATTCCCCGATGTCCCCCATCTCTGAGAATCCAGCATCACCTGCCTACAGTACAGGTAGGCATCATCCTCTCGGCCCACTGGGGATGGTGGGGACATGGGTCAGGATGGGCTTGGCACGGGTGTGATGCAGGGATGTGGGGAGGGGGACAGAGCTGGCTGTAATGACAAGCCCCTGCTTCACTCACTGCTAGTGAAACCCTATCCAGCTCTTTGCATGGCCAAGAAAACTGTCCTGATGGATGGCACTAGCTGAGGACGGGCTCTTGGCCGGTCCCGAGCCCACAGTGTGTGCGTCTGTCCTGGGACTGGCTGAGTCGGGGCAGCAGGGCTTTCCCTGAGCTCCGCGTCCCCGGGCTGCTGCATCCGTGGTCGCTACACGTGTGTGTATCTCCAGGCTCTGATAACAGGGTTTCCTCCACTCCCTACAGTTACACGGCTAAAGCCACATGCCTGCCAAGCGGCTGGGATTGCCCCGGCCTCTCCAGTCATAAGAAGGTCCAGCGAGCCCCAGCTGTGCCCGGGGAACAACAGCAAACCCCTGCCAGACCCTGCCCACAGCACCCACTCGACTCCCTGCCATGGGTACGCCCGCGCCTCCCCCTCTCCCTCTGTGAACAGCTACAGCGACCCGGACACGGGGCATTACTGCCAGCTCCACCCCACCTCGCCTGTCAGCAGAGACCGGCCAGCTCATGACACCAAGCAGCTGCCAACAAAGAGCTACGTGGAGAGGCTAAAGGTGGAGGAAGGACAGAGAGGGACTGTGGAGAACAGCTCCGGGGAAGCAGAGGCAGGGCAGAGGCTGAAAGGAGAGCTGGACTTCATGGGCTTTGTGCCCCCCACCATGGAGACAACCTCCTCCTTCAACCCTGCAGCCTTCCAGTCCCTGCTCATCCCCTTGGAGAACAAACCCCTGGAGATGGCCGTGCTCAAGAAGGTCAAAGAGCTGCTGGCAGAGGTGGATGTGAAGACGCTGGCCAAACACATCACCAAAGTGGACTGCCTGGTACGGCGGGGGCCAGGCGGGAGGGATGGGCACCGTTGCCCTCCAATCGCTCCGGGTTGGCAGGGGATCGGAGCACCCCCAAGCACTGGGGCACCCCCGAGCATTGGAGCATCCCTGCTGCGCTCTGCCACGCTGTATCAGCTGGGGCAGGCAGAGGCTGGGATGGGGCAACAAGCTGCCTGAGGATGCTTCAGGCTCTCCTCAAAATTAACAAAGGTCTAATCAGCTCTCGCCTTTCTCGCCAGGTCGCCCGGATATTGGGTGTGACGGTGGAGATGCAGCGGCTCATGGGAGTGAGCTCCGGCATGGAGCTGCTCACCCTGCCCCACGGCCACCAGCTTCGCCTCGACCTGCTGGAACGGTACGGCACGCCGTGCTGGGGGTGGATCCCCTGGGGTGTCCCCAGCTTGGCACGGGCTGGGGGGGTCCGCTGCACCTCCCGGGATGGAGGAGCCCCCGGCCGGGCCCCGGGAGCATCCCCAGCCCCCCAGTGCTGACCCTGCTCTGCATCTCGCCCCACCGCAGGTTTCACACCATGTCCATCATGATCGCCGTGGACATCCTGGGCTGCACAGGCAGCACGGAGGAGCGGGCAGCCCTGCTCCACAAAACCATCCAGCTGGCTGCCGAGCTGAAGAGTACCATGGGGAACATGTTCAGTTTTGCAGCTGTGATGAACGCCCTGGAAATGACACAGGTACAGGGACACTCCCTTCATCCTCGTGGCCTGGGCTCAGCCCCCTCACCCAAAACACATCCCTCTCCCCGTGTCCTGCAGGCTCTGACACCCATTGGGGCCGGAAAAGGAGGAAAATGCCCAGGGTAGGAGGCATGGGGCCACATCTGCTGGGGTGTAAGCAGGGAAAGGGAAAAGCCATCCCCTCTGTGGAGCAGACAGCACAGTCCCGCCAGGATCCAATTGTTTTTCGGTGGTTGGGCTTTTTGTTTTGTGCTGGGCTGTGTTCCTGGGAGGAAATGAATCTGCCCTCCGGTACAATACAAATCAGTCTCAAGGCTGTGGCAGCAGCGTCTCCAGGCCACACTGCTCCCTTTGGAAGATGAAAGGAGATTAAAATTCAATTTTAAACCGAGCCCAGCTGGGAAGTCTTGCTTCCTGCCTGCACAAAGGAGGTGGAACGGCTTCCCCCTCCCTGTGTCTCATCTTCAAGGCCGCTGCGACGCGGGGAAGCTGCTTTCCTGGGGCATGAGGAAGGAGGAGAAATCCTGACGCCAGCCTCAGTGCCAGGGATGTGCCGTCTCTGGCCATGAGTGCTGGTGGAGGAGGCTGTTTTGGGGAGCAGCAGGAACTGCTGTGCGCAAGGCTCGGGGCCATGGCCCCAGGCCAGGCTGTGCCTCCCTGGCAGCACCCTGGGAGCCCAGAGCTCAGTGCCCAGGGGCTGCGCTGCCCCCAGCACCTTCCATCTGCCCCGTCTACTTTCAGATCTCCCGGCTGGAACAGACCTGGATGGTGCTGCGGCAGCGGCACACAGAGGGCGCGATCCTCTACGAGAAGAAGCTCAAGCCATTCCTGAAGAGCCTGAACGAAGGGAAAGGTAACGGGAGCAACTCCCCTTCTCTCGCCCGCCTGCTCCTGCCCGCTTCATCTGGGCACAGCCTCGCTGGTGGGGGACGCATATGAGAGCTCTGACCCTCTCCCAGCCAGTGCCAGATGCTGCCCCTCTGGCTGCTGAACCGCCCCAGCACCCAAGGAAGCATTTCATAACTAAATAAAACCAGCAGCTGGGCACAAATACAACTCGGCCGAGCCAAATCCTTGTGCTTGCTTGGCAGTCCGTGCCAAGCCGAGGGGACAGGGCAGCCAGTCAGGGAAGATGAAAAGCCATGTCTTTCCAACACCCAGCGCTCTGGGCTCTGCAAACCTGCTCCCCATCACAGCCCTGGGAAACACGGACGCAGCCCGAGCAGGGACAGCAGCGTTCCCCTCTCAGCACGACCAGAAAGCCCAGCTGGGAGGAGCTGGTGTTGAAAGAGAGGATGGCCCCAGGCACAACGATGGCAGAGCCAGAGCCGCTGCTGTGCTACAGCTGAGCCTTAAAGCCTCTCGCGGGAGCGCGGTGGCAGCCTGGCTTCACAGGGCTGTGCGGCTACGTCTGCACTCCGTGGGGCTGGGGCAGACGGGGAGGGGGCTGCAGGGGTCCTCAGGGTGCCTCTCTCCACAGAAGGGCCACCGCTGACCAACACCACCTTTCCCCACATCATGCCCCTTGTGACTCTCCTGGAGCGGGATGAGGCTCTCACAGCCAGCCCCGAGCCCTGGGAGACCACCGACAATGGCGTGGAGGTGGTCATGGCCCACCTGGAGACGGCACGGATGGTGGCCCACCACGGCGGGCTCTACCACACTAACGCCGAGGTGAAGCTGCAGGGTAAGCGACGGGGACAGCAGAGCCCCTCTCCCTCTGCTGAATTCCCAGTGCGCGGCTCCAGCCCAGCACCAGACAGAGCATCCCACGGGTGCAGGGTTCCTGTCCCATCCTGGAGAACTGACTCTCCCTCTCTGCAGGTTTCCAGGGCAGAGCGGAGCTGCTGGAGATCTTCAGCACCGAGTTCCAGCTGCGGCTGCTCTGGGGCAGCCGTGGGGCCGAGAGCAGCCAGGCCGAGCGCTACGAGAAGTTCGACAAGGTCCTCACCGCCCTGTCCCACAAGCTAGAGCCGGCGGTGCGCTTCAGCGAGCTGTAACCCCCCCCCGAGGCACTGGGAGACCCCCCTCCCAGCTCCCAGCCTGGCCCCCCCACCTCTTCCCCAGTGGCTGTGGGGCAAGGGATGGGGCCAGGCACCCAGCACCAGGAGGAGAAGACATGGCCCAGAAAGGCAATGAGGTGCGGATCAGAAATTTTGAGACAAAGAGGAGGAAAAGCAGCCACCTCCCATTTCCCATCCACCTTCTTGGGACCCAACAGGACGGAGGGTCCACACTGCTGCCCCAGGGGCTGGGGACAGTGTCCAGGCAGGCCAGCAGCAGTGGCCACCATCCAGCCCCTCCAAACTCCATGACTACATGGTGCCCCCTCACCTTGCCCCTCGGTTTTGTTTCTTTTCCATCTCCGTCTTGGCCACAGCCACTGCATCTCGCTTGTAAATACGTTCCATGATCACTTCTCGATGTACAGACTTGTGAAGGACGGTTCTTGTTGTAAATAATTAGGCTCATTCGTTTCGTCTTGTAAATACGTGTACATATGTCATGGGTTTGGTTCTTACATACAATAAACTTTTATGCTGTACCTCAAGGGGATCCCCTCTCCTGTGGGTGTCATTTAAACGAGGCCAAGGAGAGGAGAGCTCGGTGCCGGGCTGGCGAGGGGGCCCCCCATGCTGAACTGCCCCCCGGACCTCTGCAAAGAGGGGGCCGGGGTCCCCAAAGCACCAGCCGCTGCCCGCGGCGGGAGGCGGGGCGATGCGGGGCCAGGCCCCGCCCCCTCATTGCATAACCACGCCTGGTTTCCCACCTCCCGTAGCCCCGCCCCCGCGCGGGGCACGCCGGGAGCTGTAGTGCGGGCGGAGCCGGAGCGGGCGGCCGCCATGGGCCCCGGAGTGGCGGCGGCCCCGGCCCCGGCCCCGGCCCCGGCCCCGGCCCCGGCCCGGGCCCCGGCCTCGGCCCCGGCCCCGGCCCCGGCCCGGGCCCCGGCCTTGGCCTTGGCCCTGGCCCTGCTGCTGGCGGCCGCCGCCCGCCCCGCCGCCGCCTGGGACCTGTGGGCGCTGCGCTGTGGCTTCGTGGCGGACTGCGAGTGCAGCTTCGGGCCCGACCTGCGCGGTCAGCGGGCCGGGATGGGGCGGGGGGGAGAGGGGGCGCCCCTGAGGCGCGGGGAGCCTCTGAGGACGGGGACCCCGGGGTCTGGGGGGGTCCCGCTGCCGGGGTGTTTCCAGGAGCCCCTTCCCCGGGGGCCGACCCTGGAGCGGGGCGCAGAGGGGGCTCCGGCAGTCTCTCGCCGCAGGAAGCAGCCCTCAGAGGCCGCGGTGGGAGACAGGAGCCGTTTCAACCTGCGTTTTCCAAGACTTGCTTTGACTTTGCTTCAGGTCTGGAGTGTGACTTGGCCATGAACCTGGTGGGGCAGCCCCTGGTGAGGCAGCAGGTGATGAAGGGAGTGAGGGAGTTCCTAGAGAACCAGGATCCAGCAAAACCCCTCGTGATGTCCTTCCATGGCTCAACGGGAACAGGCAAAACCTACGTGAGCTCCATGCTCATCCGCTACCTCTTCCAGGGTGGACTCCAGAGTCCCTACGTTCACCACTTCTCTCCGATAGTGCACTTCCCCCACGCTGAGCGGATAGAGCAGTACAAGGTAAGGGACACCTCTCATCACACTACTACTTGTTTGCAGGTATTTTTTGGTTATGTCCATCTTGATCCTCAGCACATACACATTCAGGCTGTTTCCCGAAGTGCAGTAGGAATAAAAGCTCTTTGTTTTACCTTCTCAAACACGGCTGAGTGAGTGGCTCCACACACTGGCAGAAGAAACTGCGATATACTCTGGCACTCAAGTTATCACTTTCGTCTTCCCCACAGCAGTCCTTGCCGTGATCATGTTCTCATTCCTTAAATATTTACACAGTCTTTTGAACACACAAACATCTTTGCTTAGATGAAAGGCACTAAAATTCTCCCGTTGCTTTCCAAACAGTTTGATGGCTGTGAAAACCTGCATATCGCTAGACTTGTAATCCCCTCCTCACAGAGCAAGCAGCTCCTGAACAGCAGCTCTAGACTTGTAACTGTGCTACTCTCTTTTAAAGCTGAGAAAGGGAAGAAATCAAAATACAAAGGTTAGCTGACAAACCCTCAGCACAGTGGGGAATCGGTGCGCCTGGACGTTTGCTTTCTGGGTGTTTGGAGAAGCTATTTCTTGTATTGTGTCCTTAGAAGATACACTCTTAAGGTAAAACCCATACTGGGTGAAGTGCTTCGGAGTTATACATGTCCCCAGGCAACGTGAGTGGTTTTGTGTGGGTTGGGACCTACACTGAAGTAACCTCAGCCGTGATAAAGAGCCAGAGCTCTTCTGGGTCAGCACAGGCACATGTCTTTGCACCAGGACAGGAGCTGGCAAAAAGCACATAGTAACTGGGAACTGCGTAGATATACAAAGAGGAGAACGTGGGAAACTGTAAAGTCTGAATCCCCAGCTTTAGTTTGCTGCCCCCTTCTTTAGATCTGTAATAAAAGATCAAACTACAATGGTCTGATAAAGCCCCTGTGTGAAACCCAGAATAAAGGAGGCTTCCCCCATGCTGGCTGTTCCTGCTCAGAGTAGGTGGTGCTGTGCAGGGACCAGCTGCTTTCAGCACCTTCAACTCTGCTTGAGCTCAGGTCTCAGCTTTTGCTCTGGGATAGCTCGAGCCTCTCTTGCTGCTCTCGGCATCTCGCTGCCTTGCAGCTCGGTGGATGTTTTTCCCAGGAAAGCCTGAAGCGCTGGATCCAAGGGAACTTGACAAACTGTGGACGGTCGGCCTTTCTCTTTGACGAGATGGACAAGATGCACCCTGGCCTGATTGACGTGATCATACCATTCCTGGGACCCTCGTGGGTTGTGTATGGGACCAACTACCGCAAAGCCATCTTCATCTTCATAAGGTAAGAGAGGCCCCTCTGTGGCATCACAGGGCCTCCCAGCACACCGCTTCTCATTTGGGCAGATGTCATACCTACTTCAGAGCACACACTTGTTTTGCTTTCCCTTCTCCAAGCCTTGAGCCTCTACCAATACCAAGAGACACTATTTCATTGTGAATAGACAGACCTGGAGAGTCTGAAAAAGCTCTTCTGTCCCTCTTATTTGGCTGCCTTTACAGGAGTCATTTTAGGCCAGGCAGCTTGGGAGATCCTGGCTTGGACTGGTGCTGGCCGGCCGGTGTCAGGTACCACCTCTGTCCTGCAACACCATTTTCCTGCATAAATGCTGACTAAGCATCTCATTCTTGTGCAGCAATGCAGGAGGGGAGCAAATCAACGAAATGACGCTGGATTTCTGGCGTGCCCACAAGGACCGGGAGGAGATCAGCCTGCGTGACCTGGAGCCAGCCATCTCCAAAGCTGTGTTTGAAAACCCACAGAGTGAGTCCATGGAGCAGAGCCTTTCTGGCAGGGTCAGAGCCCGGCAGAGGGAGCCAGGCCCATTCCAGGCAGCCTCGAACACCGCCTGCCACCTCCCAGGCAGCCAGAAAGGGACGAGGGGGCTTTGAGAGAAGGGAACTGCGATTGCCTCAAGGTTTCTTGGCAAAGGGAAGGAATAAGCCAGCCTTCCAAGCCAGCAGATCTGGTGTCACGTTTAGCAAAGTTCTTTTGAGAGAGGGTGTATTCACAGCTGGGGGGTGGCAAACAGCACAGCGTGCTCAGTGGAAAGGTGCTGAGACGTACCGATGCCCACTGCCTGCCAGCTCCTCCTTGCTTTTCCCTTGTCACAGGGCACAGAGCTCACACTCTGACTAGTGAAGCTAAATTCCCCCCATTCCTGGAGAGCAAGTCTGTTGGGGGGTAAAGGGGTGACAGCTGCATATTTTAGCTTTGCACAAAGCAGCTCTTTGAATTCCAGGGACTGCAGTGACTCTCTGAAGGTAAAACCTGTCTCTTCCTTTGCTTTTGCAGGTGGATTCTGGAAATCTGGGATCATTAACGAACATCTCATTGATTTTGTTGTGCCCTTCCTTCCACTGAAGCGCCACCACGTAAAGCAGTGCATCGTCAGTGAACTTGTCCAGCAAGGCCTCGAAGTCCGTCCGGGTGTTGTCCAGGAGGTGGCTGACAGCATCCCCTACTTCCCAGAAGAAGAGAAAATATTCTCATCAACAGGCTGCAAAACAGTGACCTCTCGGATCAGTTTTTTCTTCTAATCACTGGCAAGGGCCTTGCTCGGATCCATAGGGGATGTGTACGGATCTGTAAAGTGGCAGAGCACAGGGCTGGCGGGACGAGCGGTGGGAGCTGCCCTCGTCTCTCCAGCCCCGGGGAGGCTGCTGCAGGATGCAGCCACAGGACCAAGTGCAAGTGATGTGATTTAAAGCACTTTACTGATTTCCCCTTGGCCAGGTGAGGGTGGATGCGATCAGCTGAATGCACCACCCAAGACGTCTGTGACGACAAGGCAGGGATGCTAAGAGGGACTGCAGCAGCAGGGAGGTTTCTCACACTGTCAGCAGCATCCACCTGCAGCTCTCCCCTCTCCTGGCAGCTACTGATATCCAACACATCAAGATTCTGAGCTCACATAAGAATATTTCTTTCCTACAGCATTTTAACAGTTTTTTTAAACCTTTTCAAGCGTGGCTGTGCCTCAGCTCCTTGGTGCAATGTGACAGTTCTGGTGCTGATTCCTGCAGTGCTGCCCAGTGAACACTTTCAACATTGCAGCAAAATTTTCTTTCCAAAGAAGTCTTAGAGCCAACTTCTTTCACTGTGAATAGGTGCTATTAGGGACCAGCTTCCCCAACAGTAAGTGTGCAGGGTGGGGTAACATGAGAGATGGCAGCACCTGATCTGCCAAGAGCCAGGTTCTTCCTACTACCCCCTTCTCCATCTTTCTCCTACGGTCCAAAGGATTTCCCTGCAACAAACCAGGAAAACAGCAACAAAGACTTCTCACTTGTTTTAGCAGCTATGAAAAATTTCAGTCCTACCTCCAAGGGAGCCCATGGTGCCACTAACGGTTTTGAAAATTCCTTTTATTCAGTGATTATTTCTACAGCAGCCTGAGTTAGAGCTGTTGAGCCTCTCGTACATCCTTCTGCTGGTCAGACCTTGCAGGCTTTGGCTGGGCCAGCATCCATTCTGCTTCTGGGGAGTGTCACTTATGATGGGGACCTGGGGACAATACTTAGAGAAGATCAGTGCTCCGCATTGCCAAGCATGGGGTGCACAGCACCACTGGCCTTTGTCCAGGTTTTAATCTCTGTGCAGTCAGTTATGGGAGAACAGATCAGAGGAACAAGAATCATTTGCTCTCTAGGAGCAAACTGCCTGAGGGCTGGGCGCAGGGACAATGCTCCCCTCGGGCCCTGTGCTGAAATGAGCTGCCGGCGCTTGGGACCATTCCAGCTCCAGGGCCAGAGCTTTGGGGACAGCGATTTTAGACACTACCCAAACGCTGCCCAGGAGCTGGCTCACAGACAAACTCAAAAATTCTCCCTCTTCTAAAAATGTTATGAATTTCTAATTTTAAAATAAATCTTTTATGAAACAAATGGTTGGGGAATGGTCTTTTACTTGGATTCCTGACTGCAGCTAGTGCGGAAGTTGGAAGATTTGCAGTTGCATGGGAACAGCTGCCTGACGCGATGGGACTTTGGGGATTTAGCAGCACGGAGCTGATGCTCCCTGATTAGGAAACAAGACAGCAGCCTTTCCCCAGGAAGGAAGCGAAGCAGCAGTAGTGGGGCCAGACATCCTCCACAGAGGAGCCAGCATAGGTCCAGGAAGGCCACTGAGTCTCTCTGCCCCAGTGGCACTTTTCCCCCCACTGCAGAGCACATCCCTGGGTCCCACGGCCACATTCGCAGGGCTGGTGCCAGCACAGCAGACGGTGGGAGCCACGTCCCCTCCTGCCCAGGGCGTGCTGCTTTGTGCAGGGAGCTGGGGGGCCGAGGCGAGGTGCCGGGCGGGCGTGGTGGCAGAGCAGCCGCTCCTGCAGCACTGGCTGAGCTCCGTGTGCTGGCTGGGCGCGAGATCCGAGCCCGCAGCCCCTGCCACCGCACCCCGGGCTTGCTCACCCGAGTCACGGTCCCTCAACCTCCTGCTCCCCTGTTCCCTCAGGAACCGCTTCTTCCCGATCAGCCTCTAGTGCCATCAGTAGCCAGGGGACCAGTGCCAGTGCAAAGGCAACACTACAGGCCTGCAGCAACCCCCTGAAGCAATCCTTTATCTGGGAGAGCTGAGGAGGAGTGAGGCGCCTGCTTGGAACAAGGTTCCCAGGCCAAGCATAGACACCCGGCAACCCACCGTCACCTTTCAGGAGCAGAAAGTGGTAAAAACCCGCCTTTGCCACCACAAGTACTTCAGCAGCGAGCTCCAAAACATGCCACTGTGCTACAGAGCAAATGAAACCCCTCACACTCAGGATTTGAGCAACACCCCCACTTTGGGGTGGGCAGCACTAGTGGGTTAACACCCAAGACAAACGACCCCTCAGCATGTACCTATTGCTGCTGTCACACCAGGCAACATCAGCCAAACTGGTGAGTTCTGGGGGGGTTCTGAAGCATTTTCACAAAGGTTTCTCGGGCAAGGCATCCAGCCATGCTCCCCAGGAGAGCATGGACGGTCTTTCTTGGAAAGAGATAGTGTAGGAGGGAAAAGATCTGCAGTGGCAACAAGGATCTCCATGGAAAAACTCTTCCCCACAGTGAGCACCAAGCCACAGGGTTTCCAGCACTGCAGCTAAACACCCACATCATGCTACCAACAAAGGCCCCACCAGGACCTCACCCAACAGGGAGCCCAGGTTTCACCTCAAACAACACCCAGGTCACTGCCCGGAGTGGTGCCATGCTGGGTGACAGCCATATGGAGACACGTTCCCCTTATCACAGCCAGACACAGCAGGGCTTCTGCCCTGAATTAGGGTCAAAGAAACAGGAAAACGAAAATAAGGAGGAAAAACCTGCCCAGTGGCTCCAGCACAAGGCTGTTGTAAGAGTCAGGCTATCACCCTTGCTGCTTGGCTTGGACCCACACACCCTGGCAGAACCCCAACCCCGATCCTTGATCAGCTGCTGGCCACTGATGCAGTACAGAAATACCAGGCTTGCCCCAAAACACATGAGGGGGAGGCACAGAGACTGCAGTCGGGGCAACTGGCTGAGAACATCACCCACGGCCTCAGGAGGGCATCAGGGAGAAGCGCAGGGCTGTACCTCGCCCTCCATGGGGTCGAGCCACACACTTGGGGTGGCATCCTCCCCTCCGCGGGCACAGGTAGTACAGCAGTTTCTGGGAGCCGTGTTCAAGGGCTGTGGAGAAGCGAGTTTCTGCCTGTGAGGGGATGGGAGCGAGCCCACTCAGTGGCTGGCTCGCCACCGGCCCCGGAGGCAGACCACACTGGCCCACCAGCTCACCTTGCCACCAAATCCTGCCGTCCCTGCTCATGCAACCCGTCTCCACACACCACAGTTGCCCAGGCTCAGCTCCAGCGCCTGCTGGTAATCCGCTAGTGCACAGGCCAGCTCCCCCAGGCGAGGGAAGCAGTCTGCAGCAAGGCAGCTTCAGCGTCTCAGTTAAATGAGAGCGGCTGGGGCCTGGCTGCCACCCCCAGGCTTTGTCTGGAGCTCTCCGTGCCAGCGGGAAACACGCACGGCACGTGTCCAACCCACCCCAGCCACAAAGATTTCACCGTCATTAGCCAAAAGCTCTGAGCTCCGCTGGGCAGGAGACACAGCCCGATCTGGAAGAGAACAGCCATTCCCAGCCATGTCCTTGGGACGGGCCATGTGGGGAGGGAGCTGAACCACCAGTAGTAAATCCTGGTTCCTGCTGAAACAGCCCAGGCAGGCACAGCTGTAAACCAGGGTCAGGAGCAAGGGAGAACCCAGGGTCCCTACTGCGCATTTCAGTCACCGCTCCCGAGCGCGGGGCCTTCCCCTGCACACACTCAATGCTCGAGTGCAGACACTGCTATCCGACACCCCAGCCCTCACCACGGGGGCCCCACTGTGATCCCCCAGCCCAGCTGCTTGCCTCCTCTGTTGACACAGAGCCCTTTCTCCCTCCTCTTGTCCCACAAAGCCTCGCCAAGGAGCATCACAGCCTCATGGACTACGCCAAGGGTGTAGCAGTGAACAGCAACAGCACAGTCATTGCAGGTGAGTGTCAGCTGCCACCGAGGCTCCAAAACCCCTGGGGCACCCAGCTCCCTTGCCCTGGCTAAGTCCTTTTTAGGCTGCACCAAAGTCCTTGAGCTGTCAGAGGAGGGTCACCCTGTGACACAGGGACAGAGACAGGAGAGCTCAGAAGCTGATGGGGCCGACTGGCCATGGTGACATTCTCACTACCTGAGGGTGAAGAATTTGGTGGCTGCGGGGTCACTCTTGATGGTGAAGCTCATCTTGAGCAGGGCCCTGCACAGGGCCTTGGACACCGCCTCAGCCTTGGCCTCCTGACCTCGTCTCAGCAGCCTCTGCCTCTGGGCCTGTGCGGCTCCCGCTCCAGGGCCTGTTGGATGTCCTGGTGGCACAGGGTCAGCTGCCTGGGGAGGTCAAGTACCCTCAGAGACTGGCTCTCCTCAGCGCATCCCCAGCCTCCAGGACGGGTAGCAGGGCCCCCCGTGGACCAGAGCAGACATACCTACCCAAAGTGATGCACAGAGCACGTACAGATCAAAGTTCCTCACACCCTCCTCCAGGTCCCTGTTGAGCTTCCAGAGGCGCTCTGGGAACCTTCTGAGAGCCACAAGACACACGATGCTGCAAGAGGAGACGGGCGAGGCTGGAGGCATCCTACAGCAGGATCAGCCCAGACAACCCAGTGCTCCCCTGGCTCTACCTCCTCTGGCAAAACACCCTGCTGTGAGGCTGCAGCTCAGCCGCCTGCGTGAAGGCTTCCAGGGCCTTGCAGTAGAGCTCTTGGTCGAGCAGACATCAGCCCTGAAGGGAAACTCTGTCAACCTGGCCACCAGCTGGGGCTGCAGACAGGGGTGGGGAATGGTGGCTGACCTACAGGGGAAGGACAAGGACCAGAGAAGCCAGGCAGGGCTGCTCCCATGCCCGCAGCAGCGTGAGCACTTTCCTGAAGTTCAGTATGGCCGACTGGAAGTTACAGGGCTGGAAGAAGTCCTCTGCCCACCATTCACACAGCTCTGCCTGCACCAAGGACAACCCTCATCCCACGCCAGCCCAGCCCAGCCCTGCTCAAGCTACCCAGGATCAGCCTGGCAAAAAGCTAACAGCATCCTGAAGCCAGATGCCAGCAGGAGAACTGGTCTTAATGATATAACCTCCCTTCTCTGGCTTCCAGCCTGGCGTGTCCCTAGCCCTCTGGGGACTCTTTACCCTCTGAGGATCCAGGTCGATGGCTTTCAAATAGCAGGTGATGACTTCCTCCCATGGGCCACACAAGTCCAGCCCTTTCTGTGAGCTGGGGAGAGGAAAAGAGCCGTGAGCGAAGCCTGGACTGAGGGACTGTCACACAGCCTTGGAAGAAAGCTCTGCTCCGCTGGCCGGGCTGAGAGCCAGCCCGGGCTGGAGGGTGGCCGGGGGAAGGGGGGGATCACGTATGCCCCCCACCCAGCCGTGCCCCGAAGGCCGCTGCAAAGGACGGTGTGAGCGGGAAGGAGACAGGCACGAACACAGAGAAGACGAGGCACGGCCTGGACACTCTGCTCCTGCACCCCGGCCCACGCGGCTGCGGGCTGGGACCCCAATTCCCGCGGGGACCCCACGATGCCCAGACACCGCCTGGGCCCGAGGACCCTCCGCAGGGACCTCTCCCAGCCTTCCCCCGTCACCGCCGCGGCTCGGAGCGCCCCCAGCCCCGCCGTGAGTATCGCCGGCCGACCCGCGGGGATTTACCCACAGCGTGGGCGGAGCGTGTCCCGCCCCACGCCACAGCCCCCCCCCCCCCGGGACCGCCCTGCCGCCCGCAACCAAGATGGCGGCGCTGCCCGTAAGCAAGATGGCGGCGGGGGGAGCGGGAGGGTGAGGCGGCGCTGGGCGGTTGGAGGCGCGCGGGCGTGACGTCACGGAGGGGGAGGGGTTAGGGAGCACGCGGCATGATGGTGGCGGCGGGGCTGGCCGGGCGCGCGCGACCGCTCGTCAGCCGGGCGGGGCCGCGCGTGATGGTGGGGCCGAGGGGGCGGGGCCAGGCGGGAGGGGAGCGGGGTGTGAGGGGGACACCGGGGAGATCGGGGCTGTGAGGGGGAGATCAGGGCTGTGAGGGGGACACTGGGGAGATCGGGGCTGTGAGGGAGAGATCGGGGCTGTGAGGGGGACACCGGGGAGATCGGGGACGTGAGGGGGAGATCGGGGAGATCGGGGCTTTGAGGGGGACACTGGGGAGATCGGGGACGTGAGGGAGAGATCGGGGCTGTGAGGGGGACACTGGGGAGATCGGGGCTTTGAGGGGGAGATTGGGGCTGTGAGGGGGACACTGGGGAGATCGGGGCTGTGAGGGGGAGATCGGGGAGATCGGGGCTTTGAGGGGGACACTGGGGAGATCGGGGACGTGAGGGGGAGATTGGGGCTGTGAGGGGGACACTGGGGAGATCGGGGCTGTGAGGGGGAGATCGGGGAGATCGGGGCTTTGAGGGGGACACTGGGGAGATCGGGGACGTGAGGGGGAGATCGGGGCTGTGAGGGGGACACTGGGGAGATCGGGGACGTGAGGGGGGACACCGGGGAGATCGAGGATGTGAGAGGGAACACCCGGAGGTTGGGGCTGTGAGGGGGACAGCAGGGAGATCGGGGCTGAGGGGACCAGCTGGCTGGGGGGGAGCACAGGGGATCGGGTCTGACGGGATGAAGGCTGAGGGGTATCGGGTCTGTGCAGAGCGGGTGTGAGGGTGCTGGTGGGGGGGATCTGGCCTGTGAAGGGGCCAAGGGACTCGTGGGGGGCCCAGCAAAGCCCTGCTGACACCCGGCTGGCAGGTGGCCGGTCTGGGCAACTATGGGCTGTGTGGGACACGGCACAGCGTAGGCATGGCAGTGCTGGACCGGCTGGCCCGGCAGCTGGCGGTGGCCGAGGGTTGGCGAGTGGACAGGCGGTGCTGTGCCGACATGGCCCTGGCCGTGGCCCGCGGCCTGGAGCTGGTGCTGCTCAAGCCGCGGAGGCTCATGAACATCAACGGGCTCAGTGTCGCCAGTGCTGGTGAGCAGCTCAGTCACACCCGATGCCTGTTGTGCCACCGAGCCCTGTGACAGCCCCGCTGTACCCCTGCCCGGCACGGGTCCCTGCAGCCCCGCTCTGCAGGGTCAAGGCCTGGTGAGTCCATTTCCCCCCTCATTTCTTGCATTGTATTTCTCTTTCCAAAGCTGAGATCTACAACCTCCGCCCAGAAGACATTTACCTGATTCACGACGACCTGGACAAGGACCTGGGCAAGGTGGCGATCAAGCTGGGAGGCAGCGCAAGGTATGGGGCGGCCCCAGCTCTCTGGTTGTGTGAGCTGGTTTGAGGCCTTGCCATACCCTTACAGGCACACGGGCTGTTCCTGGCCCCCATCCCACCAGCCTGGTGGTATTTCCAGTCCCAGCATCAGCCTTGGGCTTGATCCCAGTTGCAGAGGCAACAGCTGGCTGTTTGGGCAGTGTCCCAGTGCCTGCCCTGGCAGGAAGCACAAGGAGCCTCCTGGAAGTGGCTGCGGGCTGGATCCAGCCCTCCGGCTGCACCACACAGGCTTTTTATAGCACTCTGCCTCCTCTCTGACTGCCCCAGCGCCAGCTCCTGGGTCAGCCTCGAGACATTTAACCTATGAAATCTTCCACTGTGGGACGGGGCATGGATGGTACTGGGCCCAGTGCTCAGTCACACGTGCGCTGGCTGCAAGAGCTGAGATGCACAGAACGTGCTGACCCAGCTCTGCTTCCCTTGTCCCCCCCAGCCAGCTGCTCTCAGCCCCAGGGGCTGGCTGCTCCGGCAGAGCCAGGGCATGGAGACCGCAGCCTGGCTGGGGCCACATCCCCAGGCCCCTGCAGCAAGAGACCACGAGACCATACTGGGGGGTGGGGGGGTGTCTCTTACAGACTAACAGTGGGTTTTCTCCTTTCCTCTCAAGGGGACACAACGGGGTCCGATCCTGCATCAGTGCTTTGCACTCCAACGTGAGTGGGCCTCGCTGGAAGGGGCTCAATCCTGCTCCCATGTCAATGCTTGGCTTGTCATCCCCCTACTCCCATTCTTCTGACTCCCCTCAGACAAGCCCCTGCTCCCTTTCCTCTCCCCCACTTTTCTCTTTCCCCTCCTTCACTCTGTTTCTCTGAGGGCTGATGTCAATTTGGCTGCCGTGGAAGACATGGAAACAATTAGCTCGAGCGGCTCTGCCAGACCTGGCAGGAGCCCGGGATCGCAGCACAGCACAGCAAAAGCCTCTTCCAAAATCATGTTTCTTGGAGCAAGTGCTCAAAACCACCTGGAAAACATGAGAGGCTGCTCCCTCGCTGCCCAGCCCCTCTCAGCACTGTCCTGTTGCCCCAGCTCTGGGCCCTTGAGGTGAAGCTTCTCCAGCTCTCATCCTTCCTCCCCAGGAGATGACCCGGCTCAGGGTCGGCATCGGGCGGCCGGAGGGTGCAGTGAGGGTGTCCAGCTACGTCCTGGCTCCGTTCAGCGCCGGGGAGCGGGAGAGGCTGGAGCAGGTCCTGGCCCAGGCAGCGACCTGCCTGCTGGAGCACATCCTGCACAGGAGAGCACCCGCAGGGGACCCGGGGGACAGGGGCTGACACCAGCCCCCCGGGGACCTGTGTGGCCGATGGACGTGGTGCGGGGTGACGGTGGTGCGGAGCAGAGCTGGCCCCACGCAGATCCGGGCAGCTCCTGTCCCACTCAAACCCCTGGGGTGGCTTCGTACAGCGGTTTGGCACAGAAATAAAACCCCTGCCCTGCTCCTGCCCCTCTTCCCCGTGCCGCCAGCTGAACGCCTCTCTGCAGCAAAAATCTGTGTTCCCAGCCCTGTTCCACCAGCCCGGGCTGGAGGGAAGCTTGCAGTGGGAAGCGATGGGAGCAACTTCCGCAGGGTCCAAAACCACTTGGGCTGTGTTGAGAAACGGTGGGAAGGCGTAGCTCAAGGGCTGCTCCCAGTGAACTGCAGCAAGGCTCCGGGCTGGCCGCGTAGTTCTTGAGTTAGGCGGTTTTAAGGCAAAACCCTGGAGCTTCCGACAGCTGGAGGAGTTCTGGCCCCTCCTTGCAGAGCCGGTACAGGTCTCGGGGGGGAGAGGGCAGCCCAGGAGCGGTGTGTCCCCACCGCCAGCACGTCCTGGCCAGCTGCGTGCCCTGCGAGCGTGGCCACACCGAGAGCCCCAGCGCCGGCGGCTCCTCGCCCGCGTCCCCGCGGGTGCTGGAACAAGCACCGGGACCCTTGCTGGGTGACATGTACCACAGCGCTGCCGCCGCTTCCTTCCTCTGCTCCAGCTGGCACCAGACCTTCCTCCGCTCCATCCCCAGCTCCCGAGCTCCTCCGGTAGCACCGAGGCTCTGTGTGGCCAGGGGACAGGCAGGGAGGCAAAGGTGTCCCCGACCTGCTGCCACCTCCCCACCCTGCTGCGTCGCCCGTGCCTGTGCTGGCCGGGACCCGGCGGTCGCAGACCATGCACGTGGCTGTCTCCCGCTCCCTGTTCTCCAGCAGATCCGCACGGATCTTCGGGTCCCGCGTGATCCCCTGGAGCTCGTTGTTTTCCTTCAGGAGGTCCCTGCTGTAGCTGGTCAACCTGCCCCGAACGACGCTCTCCTGGATCATCTGGTGGGCTGACATCCCGCTGTGGGGGTCAGCTACTGAGGCTTCCACCCACTGCTCCATCGCCTTCACCAAGCTGTGGGGAAAAGAGGGGTGCAGCCCCCCCCCCAAACCCTGGGTGAAGGTGGCTACGCACCATCCCGGGGCTGACCCCAGGGCCCAGTGGGGCAGCCAGCTGCCAGGCAGGGCCGAAGAGCTGCAGCAGCTCCGGGGGCCTGGCAGGGAGCTCGCGTCTCCCCAGCTCACCGGGGCTAGGGCTAGTTGCAATGGTTTTAAGGAAATTGCAACTCTACCCCAGAAACCCCTCAGTTTTCAACCAAAGGTCATCCTGCTGAGGAGCTGAGGTTCAGCAGCAAACAAGCCGGGGCTCTTGGAAAGCAAACGCCCTTCTCCAGAGCTGGCCGCAACGGTGACAGATGCCGGAGCCCAGCAGGACTCGGCTGCACATCTCAGTGCTCGAGCTGGCGCCGGGTTTTCAGTCCCGAGGCTAAACCTAGCACCGGTGAGGGAAATCGTTTCCATCAGCATCCCCAGGGGAGAGCTGAGCCCCGTGGAAATGCCACCCACCTTTTCACCCGCGGACCCCAGCTCCAGCCTCCCTCTCCCACCCCACCTTCCTCCCTCCCTTTCCCCATTACAGATTTCATTCCCAAAGCAATCCCCAGACTCCGGCCACGGCAGCTCCGAGGTGACCCTGGCGGGGTATGCCCTGGGGACGTTACGTGGGGCAATGCCACCCAGCAGAGCCAGCACCCGGCACATCAGCTCCAACACAGTCTGCTTTAATCCTCCCTGGGCTTCAGCCCAGACACGGCACAGGCGAGGGACAAGCCCGGTTGGTGGCAGGAGGCCACGGGTGCCACCACGGGAGCCAGCCCCTGGCCTGAAAAACCCTCCCCCAAGTCCAAGCCAGCAGGAGACGGCAGAGTTGGTTTCGCTCAGGACGGTCCTGGAGACGTGTCCTCAGCAGACACGGAGCACAGCGCTCCCCTGGTCCCTCCATCTGGCAGGGAAAGGGCTCTCCAGGAGCCCTGGGGCAAATCCTGCCTTGGGTGGATCTGCCACGTGTAAGTTCGAAGGACCCTGGTGGGGACCGGTCCAGGGCAGCTGCATCTCTCAAGCAGGAGCGGGCAGGATGAGGCCACTGCCCTGCAGCACTCCCTGCTGGGTCACAATCCCTCATCCCTAGGAGGCAAGGACACAAACGTTAGCGGTCAAGGCAGGAGCAGCCCCGACGTGTTCACGCTTGAAGCAGAACCGGTGGGAGGGTTGTTTTTCAGCCTCCCCCGGTCTGGCTGCTCCCGGCGAGGCTCCGCTGCCAGCACAAACAACCTCAGACGGGGAAAGTCTGACCCGGCGTTAACCATGGCAGTGCTGCCTCAGGGCCAAGCAGGTGCTCGCCTGCCTGCACGGCCGCCCCGCAGCGACACGGCCCCGGGGGAGACCCGCTTTTGGGGGGAGCAAGCAGCACTGGGGTGAATCATTCCCCTGTGAGATGCCCCCAGCTCTCCCCAAACCAGCGTGGCTTTTGGAGGAGGCGAAGGAGTGTTGTGCCTTCCTTGCTTGAGGGGCTGGGGAGCAGCAGGACCCAGGCCCCCCGGTCCGCTCCAGCGCAGCCCGCCTGGAAGAGAAGGTCTTGGCTCTGTTTCCCAATGCTTTGAGTCTGATGGGGAGAGCGGCTGACAAACGGCAAAGAGAAACCAGGCATCTGGGACACATCCGAACGCGGGGCTCGCAGGGAGATGCTTCCCAGCCGACCTGTCCCCAGTCCCCGGCACCACGCGCCCGGCTCCCACAGCCTCGCTCACCATCAGAGCTCGTCGCGGGCGGTGGAGCGGAGGTGGCCAGCACCACCCCGTGAGTCCCTCAGGGTCTTCTGTGAGCCAGCCCAGTCGGTCTTCTTGGTGTCATCGTCCCAGATGGTGGAGGTCTCGGTGTCGCTCAGCCAGTTGCTCTCCCCAGCATAGTGGGTGGGATAAACCAGGAGGGGGTGAGCTGAAAACACCAGCAGGTCCCGAGGGGCAAAGTGCTGCTTGTATTCCTCGCTGGGGAAAGTGGAGCAGACCCGAGAGGAGAAACTGGCTTACAGAGCACGGCCCAGTGGAGAAAAAAGGGCTGAGAAAACCGTACCGACCACCCAGGGACAGTACCGTCCGGGGCAGGTGATGGGAAGGGACACGGGGTATCAGGGAGGGGATCTAGGGAAGGCAGCTGAGCTGGGAGGCTGCCCCACACCGCTGCTGCCTGCAGAGTCTGGCTGGGGAGGGACCATGAAAGGGATGGGACCATCCCTCCCCGCCAGCCTCGGCGGCACAGGGCTGGCTCTGGCACGGTGGGGGTCTCCGGCACAGCATCCCACCGGCCCAGCCCTGGCTGGCCCCAGGCGAGGGCTGTCTGGTACCGCTATCCCGGCGAGCATGGGACTCCCAGCTGTTCCTGGTTCACATCCAGAGCACTAATCCGCCCCTCCGTCCACCTCCAGCCTCCCTTTTACCCGCCTAATCCCTGTTTCACCATCCTGCTTGCTGGCTTTCCCGCCCGGCCTCTCCCCTGGGACACCCAGCCACCGGTGCTCACCCACCCCCTAAATTGCCTCCCCCTCCCCAGACGCAGCCTTGCTGCTGACCCCCCGCCCGGGAGGGGTCACAGAGGTGCCCCAAGATGGGGCTGAGACCCATAACCAGAGGTGGGGGACCACACAGCCCCCCAGCACCAGGGTACAGGGGTCTGCTCCCCGTGGGGCCAAGACCCCTGTGCGGGGCCAGCATGGAGCCCCAACTCCATCCCCATCACCGTCCCCCCACCCCGCACTGGCAGAGGGCCATTTTCCAGCGGCTGGCAGCCAGGCAGCGGTCGGGGGGGAATGAGCTCATGCTACAGATGTTTTCTCCAGCATGAGTAACGCCGGGGAGGGGGGGACCGGGTAGGACGGTGACGGCGGAGAAGAAACACATGCTCCCTCGCTGGCACAGCCGTGCTGCTCTGCCAGCACCCCTCCTGCACCCCCTGCTCCTTACTTGGGGTGCTTGTCGTACATGATGGGCAGGAACTCGTCCACCGGCAGCATTTTGGAGAGGGGCTCGGCAGCCAGCAGCTTCTGTGCCCCACGGTGGGAGATGGCGTAGGCCAGCGTCCAGTACGAGTACCCGGCCACCACCAGATTTCTCACCCCCTCCACGGGCGCCTCGTCCTCCGCATTCACCTGCTTCCTCCCCAGGTAGCTGCGGGGCAGCCAGCGAGCTGTGAGAGCCAACCCCAGGCACCCCCACCCCGCAGCCCCCCAGCCCCAGCACCTACATGAGGTCCCAATCCTGCTGTGCCCCCTCCAGCTCCTCCATCAACCGCTGCAGCCGTGCCGGGAAGGCGGCTTCAAAGCGCACATCGTCCTCAAAGACCACTGACCGCTCCAGCCCCCGGGACACGATCTGAGGGGAGCAGGAAGAAGTGCAAACCCATCCCAGCACTGTGCTGGGCCATACTGGGTCCAAGGGTCCTGCCAGACACACACCCCTCTCCCTAGGCCCTCCAGAGACCTGGCGATGCTCATGGGGTCCCTGCCCCATGCTGGTGGCCCTTAAGGACCCCATGGCCCTCACGGCACCGTACCTCCTTCCAGATGTTGTAGTGGCTGAGGAAGCAGCCAACCTCGCCCTTGGTGAGCGTGCGGCCAGAGAAGGGGTCGTAGTACCCAGGGAGCAGGTCCACCCCCAGCACCTTGATATCACTGCTGTTGAGGGTGCTGCAAGGCGAGGGACTGCATCAGCAAGGCAGCCCCCCTGCCCCAGCCACCCCCCCCCGTCCCCTCCCCAGGGTGACAGCAGGGGGCTGACGGAGCGGGGACATGTCCCCCCACGGTCACCTCCCATCCACGGCATCCACCACCTGCGGGGCGATCTCCAGCTCCCGCAGGGATGCCAGCATCCGCTGGCGCCGGTCCGGCCTCCGCACCAGGTTGATGAGGAAGACCTGGGGAGGAAGGGGAAAGCCCCGCCAAGGGAGCATATTGTCACGGGGGGGGGGGAGACACACAGCCTGCCCAGCCACTGCAGGACGGGGGACAGGGGGCTCGGTCAAAGCCTGTGGTGGGCTTTGCCATGGATGGATGCAGTCAGATGGATGGACGGGGGGGCACGGGGGGGGGAGTCCATTAGGCACCTACTTCATCAAAGCCCATTTTCGTGAGCGGCTTGGGGAGGAGGGAAATGTGCCTGGAGCGCTGCATGGGAGGGCCATCCACTGCAGAGAGAGGGGACACCCCTTCGGTGGAGCCGGGAACCAGGGCCAACAGCCCTGCCCCGGGGACCAGCCCCAGGTCCCCATCACCCCTGGGGTGGGGGACACCTCCAGGACCCCGCCGCCCACCGCCGCTCACCCATGGCCTCCAGCGTGAGATGCACAAAGTTGGCGCGTTCATCCTCCAGCGTCTGGTGGGCCTTCACGGGGACGTTGATGTAACCGAAGCGCTCCTGGTTGCACACACAGACCTCCGCGCCTGCCGGGTGGGTCGGCTGAGCACCACAGCCCCCCCTCCCAAATCCCCCCCCCTGCCCCTCCTTGGCCCCCCCACCACCCTCACCAGCCGCCTGGCAGGAGTAGGCGAAGACGATGATATCGTCGAAGGCCCAGGTGTAGTTGGGATGGGGTGGGTAGAAAGCCAACCGCGACGTCTCCTCCTTCCGCAGGTCGATCAGGAAGGTGGCGTAGACCATGGGGACAGAGAAGCAGCCCACCCGCTGCCGGTTCTTGGTGGGGAAGTAGTCAGCTGTCCGGCGGTAGTACCCCTGCGGCACACCGGTGAGACGCCTCCATGGTGGGGGGCTCTTCTGCCATGGGGGGGTCCCCTTCCCCGAGGCTTTTGGGGGACATACCTGGGGTGTGATGCCGCACCAGAAATTGGAATAGAAGGTTTGCGAGTCCAGCATGGGAGCCACCACTGACTTGTTCTGCGCCATGAGAAACTTGAGGGTCTGGTTGTTGGTCAGGATGCTGTCAGTGTCCACGAACTGGGGGGACAGCACAGGTCCTGGAGGCGTGGGGACGTCCACCTCAGCCCCCACCCCACTGGTGCCCCACGTCCCTTACCAGGACGTAGTCCGCCCGCTGCTCCCGGGCGTAGGTGAGAGCCTCCTGCTTCAGCCTCATCAAGTTTTCGTAGCGTTTGTCACTCCAGTGCTTGGGCCCGAGCTCGTCGGGGTAGGAGCTGGGCGGGGGGGCAGGCAGGGGTTAACCCTGCTCGCTGGGAACGCACAAACTCGGTGCACGCCGCTGCAAGCCTGCCAGCTGAGTCAGCCCAGCTCTGACTGTCCGCCAGCTCCTCCTGGCACCGTCCCCAGCTGGGGAACAGGGTCCTGCTCCGGGAGCCCCTCGCAGCCCACGCCTGCCCCCCCCCAGCACTCCCCCAGCCTCACCTGGGCTCCTCCTGCACCTTCCAGGCCACCGAGTGATAGTCCTTCCCCACCGCCCCCAGCCACTCCCGCAGTATAGCCGTCGTGTTATCCGAGTTGTGATCCGTTGCGCACCTGGGGTGAGGGGACATCAGCCCTCGGGGGTCCCCCCCCTCAAGGGACAACCACGGCCCCCTCCCTGCACTAGAAATGCTCCTGGGTCCAAGAGGCTGAGCCAGCGACAGACTCGCCTGGGCACGTAATATGTAATTTGAAAGAACTGAGGCTGCACTGGCAGGCGGGGGAATTTCTTTCCCGGTGCTGCCAGCCGGGCTGTCCCACAGCTCTCACCCCCCATCCCTGCAGCCCAGCGACAGCCCCGGCCACGCTCTCCCCATCCCAGCCCTACAGCTGCCCACCATGAACAGCATCAGAGCACAGCGGCTTTGTCCCCCCTGGCCCAGGCACCCCGCTGCACCCCACAGCACCCCTGTGCACCCCGCTGTGCCCCGCGGCTCTGGCAGCCAGAGGAAAGGTCTGCAAACAGGCAGCAAAAATCCCCCCTCCCCAGACTTTCCCATGCACAGCCACCGTCCCCAACTCTCCCACTGACCTCGCGACGACGTTTCTGGGGACCCCAGCACAGACGGGGCTGAGCCCCACATTGCACTGGGGCAACACCCCCCCCCCCCAAGTCCCCACACTCCCCAGCACCCTCAACCTGTCAAAAAGCCCCAAGCTGCCTCCTGGGCACTGGTGTCACTGGGAACCCCTGGGACGCAGGGGGCAAGGCAGGACCTGTGCCCCCCCAGCTCCCAGCTCTGGAGGCAGCTGCTCTTGAAACACCCCGCAAGCTCCTGGGGCCAGGGGCTCCCGGGGGCTGCAGCAGACAAAAGCGAGGAGCCCCCAGTCCCCCGCTGCTGGCAGCTGCCCGCCGCCCCAGCCCGGCAGCCCCTGCCAGGACCCCCCCCCCCACCAGCCACCGCCTCAGCTCCCCGCAAGAGCAGCTGCAGAAAAGTTTCCGACGAGCTCAGGCAAGAGACGGTGGCGGCGGAGGAGCGAGGAAGAGGGATGGAGGTCTCTCCCAGCCACCGCCGCCCGCCAGCATGGTAAAAGGGGGCTTGGGGGGGGCTCTTAGGGGAAGGGGGGGCTGGGGCCGAGCCCTGCAAGGAGGGGGAAGGCAGTGTCTGTCCCTGATGATGCAAAATCCCCCGAGCCCAGGGCTCCCCTCCCTCACCAGCCCCACAGATTCGGGAGGGGAAAGGTGGGGGTCTTGCCCCCTCCCCGTGGGGCAGCGCCCAGCCCCTCCCGGGTCCCTGCTGGATCCCACACCCGGGCCAGAGCCACCCCTCACTATTTGGGGCTGGGGGGTGGGAGGGCTGCTACCACCAGGGTCTTCGTTCTTCCCGGAGATCCCCGTCCCCCCATTCCCCCCCAGGTCCCCATTCCCCTAGATCTCTGTTCCTTCCACCGAGGCCCCCGTTACTCCACACTCACCCCGAGTCCTCAATCCCCCCACTCTCCCCAGCTCCCCATTCCCCTTCTCCCATTGCCCTTTGGGTGCCCATTCCTCCCGGCTCCCCATTCCCCCCATAGTCCCCCTTTATCCCTCAGGACCCCCTTCCCCCCCTTAGCATCCCCACTCCCCCGGGGCTCCCCGTTCCCCCCGGGGTCTCCGTTCTCCCAGCATCCCGGCTCCCCCCCGGGGTCCCCATTCCCCCGCAGCCCCTTCCTCCCCCCGGATTCCTGCTACCCCCCGCACCCCGGGGTCCCGGCTCGCTCCCCCCCCCCCCGGGGTCCCTGCTGCCTCACCACAGGGCGATGCTCCCCGCGGGATAGTCCAGGCGCTCCAGGGCTCCCAGGCAGTGCGGCAGCGAGTGCTGCGCGTTACGGGCCAGGAGGGCGAGAACCACCCGCGGGGGGACCGGCCCGGTGCCGGTGCCGGTGCCGGTGCCGAGCAGCAGGATCAGGGCGCAGAGCGGCCCCGCGGCGCCCATGGCGGCGGTGACGGGCGGGGAAGGGGCGGGCTGAGACCCGCCGCGCTCAGCGCACCCCAGCCCCCGCCCCCGGCCCGGCCCCGCCGCCGCGGAGAGCCCCAGAGGCGGCTTTGGGTTGGGTTGCTTTAAATAAAGCCGGTATCGGTAAACAGCACCGCATAGCCCACTGTCGCGGGGGGAAGAGGTCGGGGGAGGGGGGCATCCTCGGTCCCCTCTCGGACCCCCCTCCCTGAGGATGCTGCTGGGCATCCCCGTGGGGCCCCTGCCCAGCTTGGGGTTGGGTCCCCACGGTGCTCCGAGGGGTGGGTGGGTGGGTGGGAAGCGGACAAGTGGGCAAGTGGATTGGGGGGGGCAGGGGCGGGACGGGACGACACTCATGAATGGGGGGAAATCGTGGCCAGGGGGGCTGGTAGTCAGGGGGATCATGTCTGGGGGGGCGGCCTGTGGGTGAGAGGGGTTTGTATCCAGGGTGAGTCGTGGCTGGGTGGGCTCACAGCTCTTCCCCACCACAGGCCAAAGCAGCCGGCCTCACCAAGCCCTGTCCCACCCAGGCTGCCCCCCGTGACTGACCATCTGCAGCCCCCCAGGCGTGCCTGCAACGTGTCTGAGCCACAGGCAGCGCCGGGGCCTTTGGGACATTTTGGCTAAAACCACTGGTTAACCACCGATCCGTAAATACAGCCGTCAGCTCCCGGAGCGGGCGCAGGCTGGGAGGAGGCCTCGTCCTGGGGAGCAACGACTCCGGGCACCCCACCAGCAGTGCTGGGCACCCCTCGCTGTGGGGGGGACCCGAGTCCTGGTGAGCGGCCACAGCCACGCATGTCCAAAACCTGCACCCACCCGCAGCGGTGTGAGGGCCTGGGTGGGCGGCTGCTCTCTCTGGCTCCCCACGTCCCCCCACTCCCAGGGAACCCCTGGGAAGGCTCTGGTGGGGTGCAGCGAGGACATCGGGAAGGGGGATGTGAACAATCCAGCAGCACCTGAACGAAGCAACGGAGAGAGTGGGGGGACACGGGGGGCACCAGCGAGCCCTGCGGAGGCTGGAAGGAGAGAAAAACTCTGTTTACAGCCTGAGCTAGACAAGTATTTTGGGGACGGGCTCCCTGCCAGTGCGGCTGGGTGCTCCCGGGCAATGCAGAGGAGCTGCGGGAGGGGGGCAGGACCCCAGGAGCCGAGCACAGCCGGACCCCACCCGTGTCCAGACCCCACCCGCGTGTGCGCCCACCCCTGGGAGGGTTGGGCAGGGGGCAGCCCCTCTCCCCTCCGTGGGAGCCCCCCGAGCGCGGCCCCGCGGCTCGGGAAGGGATTAAACCGGAGGAAAGGGCCGCCGAACGGCGGCGGCGGGGCTGATCGCCCAGCCCACGGCTGGCCCCCGTCCCCCGGGGGACACCCCCCCGCCCGGCATCGCCCCCCCGCCGCCCGCCCCGCGCTTGGCCGCTGCTGCCACCTCCCGGCACCGCGGCCCGGCCGGAGCCGCCGGGTACGGGCTGGGTGGGCAGCCGGGGGCTCCGGGGCCGGTCACAGCCGGATCTGACCCCCTCGTCGCAGCTGCAACCTGTCCCCCGTGTCCCCACAGCCCTGCACTTCTTCATCCCCGCACCCCTTTGCCCCTCCAGCCCTGCATCCCCACATCCCTCCAGCCCTTCCCCTCCTACATCCCGCGTCCCTTTCCTTCTTCCTCCCTGCCTCCCTGTGTCCCCACATTCCCCCACCTGCGTCCCTTCACCCCTCCATCCCCACACCCCTTCCATTCTTCACCCCTATATCCCTGTGTCCCCACATCCCTCCAGCCCCTCATCCTCTCCCGGGGGTCTCAGACGGCCCTGCCCTGCCCTCAGCACCTGGGAAGGGCAGAGAGGGACTTCAGTGCTGCCCATAAGGATTTTGAGCAGCCTGGATCCCAGAGAGGCCAAGCAGGGCAGTTCCCAGCTTGCAGACTGCTATAAAACCCCACAGAGCCCTGACACCTCGCACTGCACTGGGGCTGGGGGGGGGCCTGAGCCTGGATGTGGCCCGGCCCGGGGCTGGGGCCAGCCCTGGGGTGCTGTTCTGTGAGCAAGAGCAACACCTGGTTGCTGCCAGCAGTTTTTTTCCCAGAAAAACCCCCCTGGTGTGCTCAGCCCCACCCTGGCCAAGCATGGTGCAGCCACCCACGGACAGCCACTGCCCCACAGCCCGCACCAAAGCTCTCCAGCCGTGGGCTGAGGGATTGGGGGGGGAGACGTTGCCCCACCCACAGTTCCACCCCCTCTGGGGCAGGCAGAGGACAGGGCTGCCATCACTGCACCCAAACGTGGGGAAACTGAGGCACGACCCAATGCATTGTGCAGCACACAGATGAGCCGGGACTGGCAGAGGGACAAAACATCCTGCACCCTCCCTTGTGAGGCAAGGGCAGAATTATCCCTGTCTTTGCAGCCGCCTTTACACCCTGCCTCCCCGCCGCAGCCCAGGTGCTGCAGAGCTCATGACGGACCCTCAGAGCCCACTGTGGGCCAGCCAACACCTTACAAGGAGTTTTGGCCATGCAGTGATTAAAAAAAAAAAAAAACCAAAAAAAACAAAAAACCACAAGTGAGCTAAGGGAGAAAGGGAAAATAGAGGTTACCTGCCAGGGCACCCACTGTGGGGTCCTTGGGGTGACAACCCACCCAGCTCTGCGCTGCGGCTCAGCACCTCCATCCCCACCGCTCTGCTAGCACAGGAGCAGGACTGGCAGGCAGGTGGCAGGTCCCCACAGGGCTCAGGTTGTCCCCACGGCTCCACACATCCATAGTGATACCTGTAACACAGAGCCAACATCAGGCCCGAAAACATCCCCCCCAGGAAAAGCGCCTTCCCATCCCCACGGTGCCAGGCAAGCAGCAGCACTGCATGATGTTTCCAGCAGTATGTTTTCTTTTTTTACAGGAAAAAGTTGCTTTTGACCCAGGGCTGAGGTTTCTGGCCACCTCCTGACTCTCTCCACCCCTTCCTTTAAATTTTCTAGATTTTCAGCAAAACCTTTGAAAAGCTCCAGGTTCCTCAAACGTCACTTTTTTTTTTTTTTTTTTCTGATTTGAAAGGCTCAGGTTTGGTTGCAAAAACTAAATATATAAAGATATAGATATATATAAATAGATAGACATATAAATGCAGAGATTCTGTGTGCATGTGCATGGCCAGGGAGTTGGTACAATGCTCCTGACCATGAACAATCTTTTTTAAGCTTATTTCACAAGAAAACACATCCCGGGGGTCCAGCTGGCTGCCCAGGTCCATGGTGTTCCTGGGTGCCCCCACGGGTCCCCACTCCCACGCCATGATGCTGCCCAAGTGACACCATCCTCTCCAGACCACTGCCGCAACCCGTCCAGCCTCGCAATCCCAGCCCAGCTCCCAGGTGGGGAAACTGAGGCACAGAGCCCACACAGCCGCCCTGCAGCTGCCTGGCTAGCGGGGACCCCGGACCCGAGGGAGTGTCTGTGACCCCGCCATGCTCCCTGCCCTGCAAGTCCCACATCCCGAGCTGATCCAGCTGTTCCAGATGTTTTCGCCACCCTCCAGCTGTTGGGTAGCTCAGGAGGCCGGCTCTCCCCTCCCAGTTGGGTTTTCCTTCCAGGTCTCTGTTAAACCCATCTCATCCGCAGGCGCCGTTCCGCTTTCCTCCTCATCAGCCTGCTTCCGCAGCGGGAAAAACTATGGATCTTCCCACCTGCAAAAATCCAGGGGGGTTTTGGCCATCCTGGGGGGGATTTTGGCCACCTGGGGGGGATTTTAGCCCACCCAAGAGATGCTCTGCCAGAGTAGCTGGAGACCGGCAGGAACAGCGTCCCCATCCCAGCTGCTGGAGGCAGGGAGATCCGTTCCACCCGAAATGGGGCAGAGACACGTCTCCAGCCCCGGCGCCCACTGGGCTGTGTCTCCCCCACACCTCGGCCTGTCGGGAGACAGCCTGGGGTGCTCCTGACGAGCTCCGAACTTTGAGGAGGGTAAAGCTTCCCCAGGGACCCTTCTTGGCTGGGAGCAGGGAGCTGGGGGCGTGAGGGATGCTCTGCTCCACCTGCAAGGCACCGCCGTGCTTGGAGCCACGTTTGAGCCGTGCAGCGGCCAAATCCTGACCCTCCTGGGTGGTGCAGCCAGCTGAGCCCCAGAACGGTCCCTTTTCTCCCCCCGCTGTACCACATCTGTTGGCATCAGAGCCAGCGTTGCCCAGAGCCGGCGTTCCCCAGTTCTGGGTGCCAAAGGGGACCCCAGGCACCCATCAGCTTTGGGAGCAGGCAGAGGGACTCCCCCCTCAGCAAGGGGAAACTGAGGCAGGAGGCCAACCCCAGGCTGCCCTGGCCCCACTGGGCAGGGAGAGGGCATGCACCCTGCTGGAGCTTCACCCCAGGGTGCTGCTTTCCGTCACCCTGCAGCGTCCCCTCGGAGGGACAGAAACAGAGGGGTACCCCGAAAGGATGGGGGTGTCCCCCCCACACAACACACTGACCCGTGCACTGCCATCCCCTCCGTCCCCTCCTTCCTTTCCCCCCCAGTGGGGCTGGCAGTCGGTCCCATCCCAACCCGGGGCAGCTGTGACCGAAAACAAAGCTGTCCCCTTCGGCACAATACCCTTCTGTCCCCCCCCCCAGATGCTGACCGCTGGGGTGGGCAGTGGCCGGGCTGGAGGCGTCGAGGGGCTGTGCCAGGCCCCCGCTGGCAGGGGACAATGTTGGCAGTGATGGAGAGTAGGTATTTCAAAAGGTTTTGTTTTCGGGTTGACCCGCCGAGCCGGCGTGACCCCGCAGCCCCCCACCCAGCCCTGCTCCTCCGTCCCAATAGAAACCGGCCACATTCCTGACCTCGGGAGAGGGGGGGGGGAAGTTTCAAACCTCCCCGGGAAGGAGACAATGGGGGTGTCAGGGCCGTGATTTAGGAGGGGGGGCTCTTTCCATCACAAAGGCGAGACAAAGGCGCTCGGCGCTGGGAAAGGGGCTTCGGCGGCAGCTCAGGAGCGGGGCCATGGTATTGTGCCTGGCCAGCCGGCCTCAGCAGCAGGGCAGCCAGGGCCCACTGGGTCCCACCGGCTCCCGTTGGGTCCCATTGGGTGCCACCAGGTCCCACCGGGTCCCACTGGGCCCCATCGGGTGCTACAGGGTCCCCCTGGGTCCCATCAGGCTCTCCATCCCAGCCCCTACAGTAGCTCGTCCTGTGGCCACCCTGGGGACGAGGGTCTGGTGGTTTCGTGGGTGTCACCATCACCCATGGTGGGAGGGAGCAAGTTCCCCAACCCCACGTGGGACATCTGGGGCACCCCAAGCTCCCCACAGCACCCCACGCCAGTGGGGAAGGCCAGGGACCAGCCTGTCCCAGGGGGGCTGTGGGCACCCCATGGGTTGGGGTTCAGACCGGGGCCAGGCAGCCATCCCCAAACCAGGGGGGGACACACAAACTCAGAGCCCCGTTCCCCCCCCCACACACACACCCCAGCCCTCCCCGGGTGTTCGGGGCCGGGGTCCCACTCTCCACTCCCCGGGTGAGGGATGAGCAGCTCCTCTGTGCTCTGCTCAAAGGGGCTTTGTGCACCCCGGGGCCGCCGGCGCCCAGCACCACCCGCCGCCGCCGGCACCCTGCCCACACCTCGCAGCCTGCGCCCCCCCCTCAGCCCCCCTCTTTCCAACTGCCCCCTGCCCCAACCCTCCTCCTCCATCCCTGAGGGGGCTCAACCCCAAATTGTGGCAAAGCTCCCCCCACCCCCAAAAAAATCTAGGAAACTGCTTAAGCAGACGCCCAACTTACAGTATCCTCTGCCGCCGAGCTGAGCCCACGTCTCCGGCCAGCGTCCCAGTGCCGAAGGGCTCGGAGCCTGCACGGAGAGAGGATATTTTTACAGGAGAAATATTTTTCTCCTGGTGCTGGATGGCTGATCCAAAGGAAAAGCTGGAAACAAGTTCATTGGCTTTTCTCTCGCTCCCTCTCCTTGCCCTAATTTTTATTTTCCTGGCAGCTGGCGGGAGGAAGGGAGCTGGCAAGGTGATGCTTTTTTGGGAAGAGGGGGACTGCTGGTGAAAGAGGCATTCACCACTCCGGGAGCCTGGGAAAGCCGGGAGCCGGGGGGCCGGCGGGAGGGCGGGAGCCTGATCACCAACCGAGGCTGACCGGCGTGCCGTGGCTCGTGGCCGTGCCGTGGCTCGTGGCCGTGCCGAGACTGGCCAAGCGGAGGCCGGTGGCAGGTGGAGGGGCGCCGGCGGGATGCACCAGAAAACCAATGACATCATGTTGTGGGGTTGGTTTTGTTGTTTTTTTTTTTTTTTTTTTTTTTTTTTTTCTCCAGGATGAAATGTAATTTGCAGACGACTTCCTCGGCCGCCCGCAAGCGCTGGGGCTCCGCGGTGAGGAGCAGGACGGGTCCCTTCAGGACACACAGGCGCCCGCCAAGGGAGTGCAGGGCTGGGCCTGGGCTTTATTTTTTCCCCCTTTTGGGCCAGAAAAACTACATTTTCATCCCTAACCCACCGGTGCCATGTGAGGGGCACACAGAGAGCAGGTTTGGCCGGTGGCTGAGCAGACTGTAGCCCGGCACAGCCGGCGCCAGCGCCCCGGCGGGGACCCCCCATCCCCATGGCAGGGCAGGATCCGTCCCCAGCCGCCCAACCCGGGATGGCTCCTTTCGCCTCTTCCCTCTTAATTTTGTTTAGAAACTTGTCAGGTTGGTACATAAAGGAGGTGGAAAGATCAATCCCGGCTTTTCATCAGTGTGGGAAAAAGTATTTCACTAATCCATATTTATTGGTGTAAGGAGCCGGGGGGGGGGAGGGCAAGAGACCCTAATGGTCAGGAGCAAAGGACAGAAGGGACAGTTTAAGGCTGCCCTTTTTGGAGAGGTCACATGTCACCAAAATCTTTCGGTTGTCTCAGGATTGGTTACATTCTGTTCTCTTTTTTTCTATTGAGGTTGCCAAGCAACTGGCTAAGACCAGCCAAGATATTTTCTTTATTACAAGTGGAGCAGAAAGCAGCAAGGAGGAGAGAGATAAAAAAAAAAAAAAAAAAAAAAAAAAAGGGAGAGAAGAGAAGAAGTTTAGACAATTAACATTTATAGGATCACATAACTTCATTAACTTGGCTGAGATTTGGGAAAGAGACTTCAAAAAAAAAAAAGGTGGTGGTGGTGGAGCATTAGGAAATAAAGTGAGTTAAAGTGAGTTAAAAGGCTGCCAGGTCCAGGGCTAAAACAATGCCGGAGCGCCTGGGAGCAGCGGCGGGGGCTTCCCTCCGATGGTTCCTGCTTCCCAAAGATCCAGCCGGTCCCAGGCGACGGCTGCGACCCAGCGCAAGGGCCTTCAGCTGTTGATGATGCTCCTTTTTCTTTCTTTCTTTTTTTTTTTTTTTAATGCCGGCCTTCTTTTGATTTTCACACTCCTAGAAGTGGGTTTATTGCTAACAGCGCTGGCAGGGAGGTGTGGGGAGGCAGGGCAGCCCTTCTGAGGGAGGTGCGTGGTGGTGGCAGGAGCGGAGCATCCCCCTGGCACCAGCCATGGCACGGGGCAGGGGCTGTGGGCATGTGGCTGTCCCCAAGCCCTGGGACACCTTCGTGCTTCTGCAGGGTGGGCAAAGCCTAAACTCCCAGGGCTGGGAATGAGCCTCGGTGGGAGAGCAGCCCCCCCCCCAGTCGCTGATCCCTGCCCCGCTGGTCCCTGCTCAGGGCTCAGGCCACCGTCCCTGGGCTGTCCCCTGCCCCAGGCCTGGCCCCGCCACAGACAGGGGACAGGGACTGGGGTCACCCTGTGGCTGGGCCGCTCCGAGCATCCCTGGGGCTGCGGGACTTTCTCTCCGATCAGCAACTGATCCCTCTAACCACGCAGCCAGACCCTGTGCGAGGACACGAGGGGAGGTGAGGGAGGGCAGGGACCCCCCCAGCTCACACACACCACCCCCCTAGCCCCTGCCTACCCCCCAGCCCCCCTCCTGGTTCTGCCCAGGGACCCCAGTGACACCCAGGGCAGTGATGGGGTGAAGGCAGGGGCCAGCCCCACGCTGTTCCCCGTGGCTGCGGGGACCCCCGGCAGGTCGGGGTTGGGTGGGGGGGGGACCCCGGGCGGGGAGAGGCAGGCGATGGCCCCACTTCCCCCGCCGGAGTCCGCAGCTGCCGGCCTGGCAAGTCGGTAATATTCATTAGGGGAAAACAATGAGCATTATTTATCCCCAGCACTTTCCCTGCCGTGGGGGGCCGGGGTGGGGTGCAGGTGACCCCATACCCCACGGGGGACCCGGGCAGTGCCACCCCCGCGGCAGCAGGACCCGGGGGGGTCCCCAAGGGGGATCTAGGGTGTGGGAGGGGACCCCAACCCCGGCCCTGCCCGGCGGCTCGGGGGGGACCCCCACAACCCCGAGTGGGGCCAACCCCGGGCGGCCCCGGGCCAGGGCGCACCCCGGGCCCCCGAGCCCCGAACCCAGGTGGGTGCGGGGGCTGCGGGCCGGGCCGGGCCGGGCCGAGCCGGGCCGGGGGCCGGGGTTTGGGAGCTGTGTCTTTAAGAGATGGCTGGCTCCAGGTTGCAGCTGCTGTTTCTGTGCTATAGAGACAGTGGAGATTCATTACTCCTAAAACACAATGGGCATTTATCACCCCGTGGTGTTATTCAAATCCAGTACCAATTGAAGGTCATCCCCATTCTTTTCTCGCCGGCTCTGCAACACATTTATTGTTGTGCCGTTCAACTAAAAGCCCTGCCCGGCCCCGGCGCAGCCCGCAGAGCCCCGGTGTGCGCATCCCTCCCGGGCGGATTTGGGACCCTCCCGGGTGGATACGGCGTGGAGGAAGAAGGGCAGAGCCGGGGCGGCTCGGCCGGGCTCGGGGCCGGCGGCAGGTGCAGCCGGAGCCCCGCCGTTGTGCCCCGCCGAGCCGCGGGGGCCGCCCGCTCCGCCCCCGCGGGACGCACTTTCCGCGCCCCGTGGAAACTCGCAGCCCCGCGGGCCGCCGGGGCGGAGGGCGGCTCGGGCAGCCGGGGGGCCGCCGCCGCCCGCCCGTCCCCAGCCCTTCCCCGGGGGGAGCTGCCCGGCCCCGCCGCGGAGCGGCCGCGGCCACCGGCACCGGGAAGCGCCGGCAGCGGGCCGGGATTTTCCCGGCTGGAGCGGGGGGATTTGCTCCCAACTTCGCGGGAGCCGGTCGGTGAGAGGGGCTGGGGGAAAAGCCTGGATTTTTCCTCTTTTTCTTTTATTTTTATTATTATTGTTATTAATATTTTTACCACCACCACCGGGGCGTTTATAAATTTCGGCGATTTTTTTTCAAAGTGCCCGAATTTTGAGGGCGATCCGCTTGGAATTGCTTAATTCTCCGAGGCGGGAGCGGCGGCGGCCGCAGCGCGGGGCCGGGGCTCGGTGCCCGCAGCCCGGCGGCATCACCCCCGCCGAGCCCCCGGGGCTGCCGGCGGCACCGAGCCCCGGAGCACCGACCCCTCCTCCACCGGGGCTGCTCCGGCGGGGATGGATCGCTGGTTTTCGTTTTCTGGCTTTTTTTTTTTTTTCTTCTTTTTTTTTTTTTTTTTTTTTCCTTGATGTTGGTTTAATTATTTTCTTTCGTTTCTTTTCTTTTTTTTTTTTTTATTTTTTTAATAAGGGCTGATTTTTTTTTTTTTTGTGTGTGTGTGTGCGTGTGTGGCTTTTGGTTTTTTTGTTTGGTTTGTTTTGTTTTCGGAGGGGCAAGAAACGAGTTGATAAAATTAAACCCCCCGCGGTGCCATTAAATCGAAACCGGGATGCGAAGCGCTGCTGCTGCGCTAGAAACTTGTTGGGGCCGGAGAAGCGGCTCCGCAGGGCCGGGGAGCGGGGAGCGGGGGTCGGCGGGCGGCTCGGGGCCCGTGTGTCCTTCTTTTCCAGGCTCCAGCCGGATCCCCCCCGCTTGGAAGATCCTGCGAGCCCGGGACGGGAATCTCCGCTTCTGATTGTCCAAACGCAATTCTTGTGCGATGGAGCCGTACGAACCAAGAATTGTGTCTGGACATCTGTAGCAGAGATTTCAACTCTGCCGGCCGGGCCCCAGGAAGGTGCTTTGCGGAGGAGGAAGAAGGACGGAGCTTCCCCGGGCTCGGGGCACGGCACGGTAACCGCTCCCGGCTGCAGCCCCGGGGAGCCTTTAGCCAGGATTTCAAGGAAACTAAACAAATACCGGCGGCGGCTCCGCACCGCTCCGCGCTGCCGGGGGGGTTCGGTCCTAATGCGTCAAATACCGGCCGGGCCCGGGCAGGGGCAGCGGGCGGATGCCCCGGCCCGGCGGCTCCATCCCGGTTTATCCTTCTGCTATTTCTTTCTTTCTTTTTCAAATTGCGTTTTCATTGAATTGAATTTATTTCGGCGTGCCGCCCGGCCCTGGGGCGCGGCGGAGACCTCTCTGCACCGGGGGGCTGAGGTTCCCCACAGCCGGGACACCCTCCTCCTCCCGCCGCAGCCCCGGCTCGCCCCGGGCTCACCGCGGCCGCCCCGGTTGCGCTCGGTCCCCGCCGCTCGGGCTCGGCCCCGGGGCTCTCGCCGCCGCTGCGGGGGCTCGGCGGGAGCGGAGCCGAGGGCTGCGGTGGTCCCGCGTCCTCCCGGAGCGGCCCCCGCGACACCAGGACCGGGAGGAAGGCTTTGAACAGAGAGGCTTTATGACTCCACACGCCAAGCGAGTCGGCCGGGGCTGCCAAGGAAACCCAGGAGGAGGAGGGAAGCATTACAAGATCCGAGCAAAATTTCACCAAGAGCCTATCTAGGACAAAGCTGGAGGCAGAGAATGTTTTAAAACGCTTTTATTTCAGAAACTTTTTGTTTCGTTACAGGATTTCGTTGTACCCCTCTTCTCCCCTCCCCCGGCTTCCCTCATCTTCCCATTTCTAGCTTTTTTTAGCAATGATTGGCAGCTTTTACTACAGCAGGAGCTAAACCATCTGGGTTTACCTGTGCTAGCGAGGGGAATAACACCTCCCAGGGAAGGAACTCATCCTATCGTGAGCAAAGAGCTGGGGGGGATAAGAACAGACAAGCCCAGCCTAAGGCAAAACCAGAGTGTAGAGGCAGGGCAGGCAGCAGCACAGAAGATGAACCTGCTTTTTCCCGCTTGGGTTTAAGTCCGTTTCAAGCTGCACGCC